AGCAATTCAAATGGCTTGGAAAACTGCCTCTGACCGTAAGTAACTGTTCTCCCTGGATCACAGGCTGGTGCTGGGCCAGAAGTCAGTCCTGGACTTGAGGTCTCCAGAATGGCTCTATACCTCGGCCTCTGGGAGGGGCAGGGCATGGCCCATTTGCTACACACCTGCTGATATCACTCAAAGAACATTTTACAAGGCAATGCTTGCTGGCAGGCATCACCTGTGTTCATTTTCAGTTCTGTATTAATGACCACAAGACATTTTGCATTTTCTAAATAGTTGCATAATTCTTCAGTGGCATGTCTGACCATTTTGAGTGTCTTCATCCATTTTCCATGAGGACATTTCCTTTTCATTAATTCTGGGTATGGATTTTTTTTGTATATTAAGGGCACAGGGTATGTTTTAGTCCCAGCTGAGAACAACAGCCCTCCCCCTCAAAAGCTATTTCTGCTTCTCACCTGCCCTTTAATTCGTGACGCTTCAGACAAACATTTAGGTTGTCAGCACGTGCTCAGAATAATCTAGGGCGATACCTTCCCCTGGGACTCTTGTCAGTTAAAAACCAACGTTTTAGTAGCAAATGTCATAAAAGTAATGTAAATGCTACCCCAAATGTGTGCTAAGTGAGGAGCAGCAGGCACTTCTAGAAGACTCTGACTCTCGTTCTCCTCAGCTAAGCCTCGGACAAGCAAGAACCCCAGAACCTAGTCCTGCCTGTGTGTGCTGGTCCCTGGCCAGGGTTCTAGGCTCCCACTCCAGAGTAAGGGCCTCTGACTCTCCTTTGCTGGGCCTGTTTCTCCTGCCCTTGTGTCAGCTATTTATACAGGGGCTGGGTCCACAGCAGGAAGAAGTGTGCGCCTTCGGGGCACACGCTGATTCTACTGCTGACCTACTCTGAAGAACTCCTGGGTCTGAAATGTCCATGGTGCACATACGTGCACATATGTGCATGTAGAGGGAAAGAAAGCCTTCCCACACTGCCTCCTCACACTACAGATACGATGTGCACTTCTGTTTCCATCACTCCTAGAGTATAGGCTGTGGGTTTCAGCCACCTTTTGGTGCATGATTTCTACTTACTGAACAGCAGGGTTATTTCACTTTCTCTTACATTTCGGGAAAGCTACTATACCTTGTAGGAGGTCATGTAGGTCATGTGACTCTGCCTTTAGCTCACTGTCAGGATGTTATAAGGGTGGGAAAGGGGTTACCCCTTGGCTGGCATCTGGGAACATAGCCCTTGAACCATTCTGTAGGTGCTAAAAGTAGTGACCAGGCTGTGTCTTGTGCCAGCTTGCCTGGACTACACACACATGTGGCAAACACAAGAGTTTCTTACCTGACTTTAGAGGACAGAGAATGTCCGATGACCAGCCCATAATCAGAGCCTTAGTCCCTGGATCCCTAAAGGGCATGGGCCCTCATTTCCTGTTAGGAGAGTGTGTTCCATGTATCTCTTGTCAGGAATATGTGGGGAGCTTGCCCTGGGTGCCTTTCCTTCCTACTGATCTTGTCACATCTCAGTGGCATTCCCACTCAGCATAAGTATGACCAGGACTTACTCATGAGCAATTTTAATGGAGCCCAGATGCATGGTGACTAGGGGACATGCTCTATAGTGTCCAACCAGACACGGGCTCTGGGGGCTGCATAGCAAGTGCTGTGCCCACTGAGATGTCTCCCTCACCCCTCAACACTGATTTCTAACCCACTCATTTTCATTTATGGACTTCTTTATTGTTATACACTGACCTCGTTTTTCCTCTTTTTGGGCTAAAGGTGGACCCTGTTTATTTTGGAAAGTTTAAGTAAAATCACTTTAGCTTTGCATCTATTTGCAAGTGTGGCACCAGCCATGTCTCATGTTTATTTTCATCTTATTTTTAACATTGAGAGTATTTTTATTACTTATCTTTTGTATTTTTTTTTACAACTTATTCACTATATATCCCAATTGTAGCCCTCCCTCAACTCCTCCCAGTCCTACCCTCTCTTCCTCTTCTCCCATCCGCTTCCCCTAGTCCACTGAAAGGGGAGTTCTCCCAGCTTCTACTTTCCTGTTTTGGCCTGCAGACCAGTGCCTGCCTTGCCTTGGGTGTGCCTCCTCCTCCAGCATAGTCCTGCTCCTATGGAAATGACAGGCAGCAACACACTACTGCCAACAGGACAAATCCCAGTGAACAGAGAAGGACCTGCAACAGCCGTTTGACAGGAACACCCTACTGCCACAGGCTCACCCCACCCCACTTCCACAGAAGAGAATCATTTCCTAAAATTTCATAGTAACAAGCACAATCTCTTGCACTCACCAGGACCCCAGGGTTCCTTATTTAATTTAATTTAATTTAGTTCTCCACAACACACCTTGAGTCCACTACACACACCCTCTCCAGCCTCCAGAATAAAGCACTACTTTATTCTAGCATGGGAGAAAAATCTACGCTGCGCTCCCTGTCCTCCCCATCTACACCCAAGCTGTGGGGCTTCAGGGCTGGCATCTAGGCAGCAACCAACACTGAACTGGTCTGCTTCCTGTCCTCCTAACCCAAGCTGTGTGAGGAGGAGGAGAAGAGGAAGAGGAAAAGAAGGAGGAGGAAGAGGAGGACAACACCCTCAGGAGGCCAGCAACACACTGGATTCAGCCTCTCAATGTGAACCCACAGTCACATCAGCACAATTCTAGCCAAACAGCAAGTGCATCTCTTAAACAAAAGGGTGCCAAAATAAAGGCAGCCTGAGCGAGAGCAGGGGTCGCATCACTGCGGCCTGTCAGGATGCCCCCAGGTCCCGTTGTCATACACATGGCTGCAGTAGCTCCAGCCACTCCCAGGGCCTAATTGGGCCCTCCTTTAGCCGCAGGCACATGTGGCATGCCACTGCGTATCCTCACAAGATAAAGGCTGTAGCCAAGAGCCCATACAGTGTCTCTGGTCTGATCTGTGCCAGTGTGTGGAAGGAGGCATAGACAGTCCCTTGCTGAAGGTGGCTCACGAGCAGAACATTGGGGCAGGCCATGTTAAGCACATGTGGTTTAGGGTCTTTCCATGGTGCTGCAGAAGTATTGTTGCACATCGCTGTACACAGCATCAATTCTCTGCTGCTCCATATCCAACCCAAGGCTGGCCTAACCTAGAAAGCAGCAAAGTCTGCTTAGAGCCTCCTTAGACACCAGTGCTGAGCCAGTGTGGCCAGTTTCAAGATGGCGGTAACCTGAGAGGCTAGCTCAGCTGAGACCTCTGATCCTCAAAAAGTTGCATAGCAATGTGAGTCTGGCACAAGTTCTCCTGGGGGCTTCTGGAACCAGCCAGGTCAGGAGTGCATACTGTCCAGTGGGAACCCAGAACACTGGCCAGCACACTGAGTAGCCACTGTACACCAGGAAAACAGAGCCCTTCTCTCTTCCATAAGCAGGCAGTTGGGTCGACAAGCCAGGCGATACCTGTAGAGGCATCCCTGCCTCCCAACGCGTCCTGTTGACAAACAAGGGTACTGTGGGAGATGGAGCTGAGCATTTAGGGAGTTTTACTCCAAGTCACTTGGTGACAGGGCAAGTCATGCTCCCTAGGACCTCCATGTTCTCAGAATGCAGCAAGAAGGGCCAGGTAGGTTGGAGTGCCTCAGCTCCAACATCCTTGCATATTCCTAGTGGGACAGGCAGCCAACACATATCCACCACTTGTGAACCATGTACACGAGGCTGAAAGAGGTCACCAGCAGTGCTGGACAGCTGCACACCCCAGCTAGCACACTGAGTAGCCCACAGGACAACTGAGTTCTGCAATGACACGGGCAGCAACTGAGGAAAAGGACAGCCTTACATCTCATGTACTTAAAACTGTGGACTACTGGGCAGGCTGGTCTCTGTCTGCCAAGGTCATATGGGCAGCTCCTTCCCCTGGCCAATGCCCTCACCTGTCGATGGTCGAAGACCACTCTTACTTGGACTGCCACCAGAAAGTTCCATCCTCACTCAGAATGGGTCTTCACACATCAATTGAGGCAATCAGGGCAGTTCTTCAGGTGACATTCCCTACTCTGGTCATTTTAATTTGTGGCAATTGGACACAAAACCAACTGTCACCCCCAAGGTCTGAGTAGGACTCTGTGAGACTGCAGGACTTTATTGACTTCTGGACAGTCATCAGGAAAACAGGGAGCTCAGAGCCATCTATGAATCACAGGGCTGAGGATAAAGACCACTGAGCTGCCACAAGTTACCACTTGGGGAACTTGAGACCACAAGCCCACCTAGCCTATCGAGAGCTGGGTGGCCAAAGGAAGAGAGTGACCAGATATAGTCAGTGCAGAGTTCTGTCGCTACAATGCTGGTATCTTCTTTGCTGCACCCTATACCACCCCACCCTGCTCAGCAAGGCTCTTGGCCACTAGGCCTTATGAGCTGGATGCAAGGACTCACTGACATCTCGGTAATAGCACCTGCAAAGGGTCAATAGTCCCCACAATACCTGGGCCACCACTTAGAGCACTGGGGTAGTCCAGGATCTGGGGACCTGGACCACAAGGTTTCCTGGTGGAACATAAAGATGGCAGGACAAATGTTTAGCAAGGCCTCTAACAAAGGGAGTTCCTTAACAGCTCTGTTGTTAAGCTGGTAAGGAAACCTGCACATCGAGGTTAGAAAATGCACCCCAACAACATAGCCTCCAAGTGACTGTTCAGAGGGGAGCTCAGGTGTGTGGCGTCTCACAGACCCTGTGTCCTGGAGCTTATACCAGACCCTGCAGGGTCACACTAGTGAGGACACATGGCTCAGGGAGTCTGGGTTGCACCTGATATACAATGATGCCAGCCCAGTTTACACCGTGGTGGCCAAGTGTCATTAGCTCTGTCTCGGCAGGAGGCGCTTCCCGGCAGCAGGGGGTCAAAACCAGTATTCCTCACAGTTCTTCCAACAAATCAGTCGTGAACTAGAATTTAATAACGCTTTCTCCCAGCAGAAAACACAACTCAGGCTCTTCTAAAAAGTGGTTACTTACTTGGAAATCTCTTTCTTCTAGAATTTCTCTTCTCCATCTCACGAGGAAAGCAGCACAGACATACAAGTGGAAATGGGAAAAGCCCTCAGGTTCAGACTGAAAGAGAAAACACAAAGAGAGAGCCTCTCAGTGTGGGGAGCCATCAGCCAATGGGGAAAGTCACCTGGGGTGGGGCACTGCAGTCAGGGCCAAGACAAAGCTCACTTTCATTCAGAAACTGAACTGCAAATGACCATCTCATCATGATAAACTCCATTTATTCTGGTAAACAGGGTCCCAGCTTGGGCCTTCAACAATATCAATAACAGCAACTTTCTTCTCTTCACAGATGACAGCCAGGGATAGTTTTGGTAGAATTGGTGAATGCCCATCCTATACCAGGTGCCAAACCTGAGGCTTGGAGAGTGGCTTCCACATCACAGAAGAGAAAGCAAGGCTGAAAGTTGAGGAACCAACCAAACAGTGGAACAGGAAGTTTTCCTGTGAGCATTAATAAGGAATGCAGCTGGCAGGAGGACAGGAAGTCTGGTGGCATTAGCCTGAATTACCACCCCCACGTCATTCTCCAATGCAGTCAGATACATCCTTCCTTCTGTTCCTACCATCTCATACTGCTGTTACCCTGGAGACCTGCTAAACCTTCCCAGACCACCCCACTGGGCCTACACAGCCCCCTTCTAGAAGGCTCTTATTCCTTCACCTCCTGCAACTTCTAGCTGAGTTCAAGGCCATACCACCACCTACTCAGACTATGGGACCCCAAGCTTAGGGCTCAGTTTGTTACCTTCACGGCTCTGCTATGTCCAAACATTCCTATGCAGCCATTGTTACTGGCATATGAAGTAAAAAAAAAGTATACAGTGCAACCAAAGGTGACATGTTTTAAGAAAAAAATAAAGCAAGGCAGGGGGAAGGATAACAAGAGAGGTGTCTATGCATGCTCAGGGGCTTACTGTAATTTCCATACAGTGGTCAGTCAGCTAACGAGGAACTCACGCAAAGAACCAAGGAGGGAGTGCCAGGCACAGCCCAGAAACACTAAGATCAGCAGTGCAAGGCCTATGTCACCAGGCATTCTCATTCTCACGAGCCTCGAAGGCTCTTAGCAGGCGACAGACAATTCAAAGGCTCCACTGGCTTCGCCACTGAGAACAGGGCACAGGGCAAGGTGGACAGGTAGAGCTCAAGACAAGCTTGGGCACAGTCACCATAAAATTGACAGGTGTAAGCAGGGCATTGGTAGTATACATCTTTAATCCCAGCACTCAGGAGGCAGAGGAAGGTGGAGCTCTGAGGCCAGCCTGGTCTACAGAGTGAGTTCCAGGACAGCCAGGACTGCTACACAAAGAAAACCTGTCTTGGAAAAAAGCTAAACAAACCAACACCAAAGAGTGATGTGCACCAAAGAGGAGCAAGAGCTTGTAACAAGGGTGCACATTCTAGATCCACGTTAAAGGTGAGCCCACAGCATACTGCTATATGTGATGAGTTCAAGGTCTAAGGGAAAGAGGGAGGAAAGGCCTTAACTAGGATGCATTTGCCAGTTTCTAAGATGAGAGGCTTTGCAAGAGCAGCAGAACACGTTTGATGAGATAGCTCTCCTAAGACTTAAAGTGCAAGAAGTTAGCCAGTGGTCTAGAGCAGAAACACACTGACAGCAGTCGGGGAGCTACAGGGAGCCCAGAAGCCCCAAGCTGCAGAAAGTCCAACTAGGGAGAATGGGGATGTGGCCAAGGGTCTTAGTCATATGGAGGCCACAGGGCAGGGCAGGCTGAGCACTCTCAGCACTCCAGGTGGGCATTGGTTCTTCATTTCCCTGTACTGCCTGCCCAGTGCTATGTTAGACACTCGAACAGCCACTCTGTCTCCACTTCCTGACTGTGAGGGGATCAGCTGCCACCAGTTCATTGCATGGAATGATGCTTGCTGAGGCCTGACATCACAGCAGGTTAGCAAAGTCTCTTCCTGCTCCAGGCTGAAGATCACAGTCACAGATGAGGCCTGCATCCACCAAGATGATAAACAGCGCTCATTCATCTGGTAATGGGGAAGACACCCTGAGAGTCATGGTTCCTTTGACTAAAGCAACATTACCTTGCATTCCCAGGATAAACTGCATCCAATCACAATGTACCCCAGTTTTTAACAATTTCTAGGTCCTGACTGCACTCACTCTGCAAGATGAGACTCTGGTTTTCTTTTCTCTGTCTCCATGGGGTTTAAGTGTTAGGCTGTTTGCCTCTTTCTCTTTAAGAGTACACACAGGTTTGGGCTGCATTTCCTTCTGATTCCTGATAGACAGCCCCTGCGTGGTAAGCAGGGTCTGATGACTTCTCTGTGAGCCAAAATGCCCTTCTGAATTAATTTCTATATGGTCCTTTTCTAACTTAAGGGAGATCGCTCTAAGCTCATTAGTGTCCAGCTTTTTCCATTCTGATACAAGCAAGCAATGCAAGCCTGTCAGTCACCCTCAGAAGCTCCACTTCAGCTGTAGTCCGAATCTTAATGAATCTTTATCATTTTGATGTCAAAGAACGTGCCACTGGCTTTTATGGTGTCTTTTGGATCATACCTGATCTATTAGCATTTTTTCAAATCTGTAAACCTTTTGTTTGTTTCTGTCCATTTAGCTTCTGAGTAACTGACTGTAACTTAATTGAATTCCTACAGAATGTGGCTTAAGGACTCCTGTTCTTTGAAAGTAGTTTGGATTTGGGTTTGGGATAGAACACAGCTGCCACAAATGTTTCCTGAAGCCGCTGCCTTGGCAGGAGAGAACATGAACACTGAGGCCCCAGGCGTGGCTTTGCCATGGCCAGCCTGACTGAGCTGCCAGCGAGTGACCTAAGTGGACCCGCCCACACTCTGTGTGTAGTCAGTGTAGACTCCCTTGTTGGCCAGTCTGGACCTGGACAGGGTTCATTTTTGCTCTGCTGGTGTCCTCTCTATCTGGCGTGAGTAGATGTTTCTTTCCACATCCACAGAAAAAGTCACACAACAAAATGCCTGCTGTTCTTAAACACACAACTGGAGCTCCCAGAAGCAGCAGTTCATATTTGTCTATTGAAAAAAATTAACTCATAGTATTATGAGTTAACTCAATGTACTAGGAAATAAGAATGTATTAAAAATCCTATGACAACAGTAGATTGGTTTTCTGCTTGTAGCTCTGCCAAATTTGTTTTCTACATTGGAAGTTATGTTATTGGGTACATACAGATTCAAAATTTCTTCAATATCATCATCAAGTATCACCCTCTTCATATCAAGCAATTCAGTGTACAAGTCTACAGCTTCGAGAAGCAGTAGGATATTGAGACATAACTAAGATCATCTATCAGCTTTTGCTGCATAATTTATCTTAAAATTAGCTACATTTTACTATGTGTGACCTTTTGAACACATCATCACAGTTAGGAGAGCACACATGTCTGTCACCCTGTATGTGCCCTCATAGCCATTTGTAAATCCTCTCACAGTGCCCAGGTCACCATTGAGCTAGTCCTCAATACACAGCAGCTTACGTCTCACATTTGCAGAGGTGCCACTGTGCTGTATGTACGGTATTTCCTAATGTCCTTCACTCAGACCTACTATTTTGAAATTTGTCTGCCATGTTCCATGCACCCAAAGTTCATTCTCTGCAAATTCTACAGATTGTTCCCCTGTATGACATACCAGTTTTTCCATTCCCTATAAATGATAAGGTGTGTTCCCCTGAATGGGCATTCCACAGTTTATTCCCTGCAAATGTTGAGGTATGTTCCCCAGAACAGGCATACTACCATTTGTTTATCTATTCTCTGCAAATGCTGAGGCATGTTTCCCTGAATGGGCATAGCACAGTCTATCCAAGAATCAATCTAGAGACACTGAGCTGCTTGCAGAGCTGTGTGCATGTTTGTGCACTAGTGTCCCTCTGGACACATGTTGCCAAACTACTTTCTGAAGTGGCTCCACCAATTTATGCTCCCAGTAGCAATAAATGAACATTCATGTTCCATCCCATCTTAGCCAGCATTCTACAGTCAGACAACTCTGTTTTAATTGAGCTTCTAATAGCCTGCAGCAGTGTCTCACTGTGGCTTTTGGGTACCTATCCACACTTCCCGAATGACCACTGGCTAAGCATCCCCAACATCTTTTGGTATTTGGAGCTTTTTCTCACTGTTTCCTATTCATGAGTTTTACAAATTGTTTTCTTATATTCAACATGGCAAGTCTGTTGTAAGCCACTGCTGAGAAAATGTGCTTTTCAGACTACGCCTTGTCTTTCTATACTCTGAACAGTGACTTTGGGGAAATGTGTCTTAAATTCTCCTGGAGGTTCCATTTATTAATTTGTCACATCTAAGCAATCTTTCCCCGACTCAAGGGCACACAAGGTTTGCTTCTATTAGAGTTTTACATTTCTGTTTAGGTCTCTGGTCCAATGCCAGTTGCTTTTCAAAAGTGTGAAGAAGCTGAAGGGGTGCTTGTGCATATGAACACTATTCTAGCAATTTTCTAAGAAGCCAACACCCACCCCCGAGTTAAGGCTGAGGTCACCCAGCCTTACTCCATTTTTAGCCTTCTCCAGAGTTCTCCTGGCCCACATCTCCTCCATTCTGGTATCAACTGCACTGTCAGTTTGCCAATTACTGCAAAAGAGCTTGTGAATCTACAGAACAACTCCCGCCCCCATGTGCGTGTGTGTGTGTGTGTGTGTGTGTGTGTGTGTGTGTATGTGTGTATGTGTATGAGAGAGAGAGTGTGTGTGTGTGTGTGTGTGTCTGCATATATCTCTGTGTCTGTGTGCAGATAATGTGTGCCTGTGTGTCTGTATGTGCACACATGCCTGTCTTAGAACCCCAGAGTCTTCTGGTCCATCACTCATCTTCATTATCTTCAGCAGCATTTTGCAGTTTTCAGGATTCAGGTCAATTGCAATGTTTGCCAGATTCTCCATAGAAATGTCATATGTTCTGGTGATACTGAAAATACTGTCCTTAAATTTTTCAATTCTGCTTCCTTATGCTAGTTGTCAGCTAATTTCTGAAACATGTTTTGTTTGGTTTTGTTTTTCCCCCCCTCCATCCTTAATTTCTCCTTGTCTT